ACGAAGGCGTAAGTGCAGCAGTATAGGGGAGAAAAAAAATGCATCGTGCAGTACGTATGTGCACACAGAGCTGTGCGCCGACCGTCTGCCGCACACACACACACACACTACCGGAGCATGAACCACAGCCACGAAGGGGGGGGGGGGAGGCGAAGAACTGCACAGACTGCAAGTAGAGTACGGGCACAGAGAGAGGAGAAACGAGGGTGTGGGAAACTGCAACGGCACCCACGCCGCGCTGCACCCAGCCTACTCGGCAGGGCGGTGCACCCGCGCCGTCGTCCATTGATCCCTCTCTTCCTCGCGGGGTTGCGCAGCTACTCTCTCGCTGGTTCTCTATTTTTTTTTTTTTTTTCTTCTTTCCCAACCCCTGCATCGTCATCTCCATTCCTCCCCCTCTTTTTACACGTGTCTTGCGCGGCTCTCTTTCTCGCTCTCGGCTGATGTCTTTCCCCGCAAGCACCGTCTCTCGCGCGTACGTGCAGTATTTTCTATTCGTTATGCTCGTCGACGCAACGACGATATAGCACACTCATGCCGGCTTCTCCCTCCCTTCGCATGTGGAGATTTTTTTTTTTTTCCATCGTCAGGATCAACGCGATGACGGGGTGTCGCGGATCGGAAAGTCGGGCGTGAGGCAGAAAGAAACGGGGGTAGATGTGCGCGTATGGGGCGGCTTTCGCTCGCGCGCGGTTTCCGGATCGCTTGCACCAAGTGATGTCGTGCGTTAGGCACACGCGTGCTACTACGTGTCCACATGCGTGTGGGGATGTAGATGATACGGGGGGAGGCATTCGACGGGAAAGAGTGCGTTTGAGCTTTAGGCGTACCTGCCGGGGGGTGTGGAAAAAGTGCAGCGCGAAAGGAGCGAGGAGAGGAAGGAGCGAACGGGAGGCAACTCATTAAAATAAATAAGCGGCCGTCGTCGAGTCGTCGAGGATCGCATGGGGTTGCAAGCTTAGGTTTTTGCGTTGTAAAATCGTTACGCCCCGCGGAGTTGGCCTCTGCTTGTTGGCTGGTTATTTATGACGTGCTCGTATCATGCACAATGTTGTAAGAGAAAGAGAAAGTGACAAATGTATGTGTTTATGTAGGTTTAAGCTAATGAGGGGCTCGCGCATTTCGAAAAATCGGTCGTGGGAAAGATAAAATGCGGCTGAACAGTACAAAAAAGGGGTAAGGGATGATAGAAGTGGGAGGATGGAAAATGGGATTTTTTTCCCCTTTTCAAGAAAATACGCGATGATTAGGTAGTTATAAAGTGCTTATATCTTTTTTTTCCATAACAGAGAGAATCGTAGTAAATGCAAGGGAAATTAAATTTCATGCGATGTTTTTCTAATTAAATTATTTCTAAGAACATGGAAAGAATAGAGCCTAGCACCAGGGAAGTTGCTTATTGGTTCAGTATAATTTATGAACAAAGGATCCTTAGTCAGAGTTATCAAAGATGTAGATGCAAATTATAGTAACTAGAATTGGAAAATAGTATAACTCAAACAACAAATAAGCATGTATTCGCGTATTGATGGTTTTTTCTGGAAAACTAGAATTTGGAGGTATTAAAGAAAACCAGACATACAGATGCACACGCTTTGGGAGATAAATACCACAATATAGTAAATCAAAAGCAAACACATACGAATAGTGTCGAATAAAACGGCTGCACATAAGAAAAACATGTTATTAACGTTAATAACATGGAAATAATAAAGGTATCCAGAAGGACGCAGGACGCCAAAGGCATATTCGTAGGTATGTTAATAGATAAGTAACTACACGAGTGTACAGATATTGACATGCATGTAAAGTAATTAAGAAAAATATCGAAACACAATGTCCAAGGAAAAGAGACAAAAATTTTGAACTTACTATTGTTATTGCAAGTTCATAAGTAAATGTACACTTTACGGACATGTATCGTTACATAATTGAGAATTTAAAATTTGAGATAAACATAGAGAGAGTTAGAATTTTAGAGACAAACAAGTACAAACAAGGCTTAGAAAGATATTTGTATGCAAACATAGAAATGAAATAAACGAGTTATAGATCGAGTGTTAGGTACACAGAAAGATAAAAGTTCATGGATAGGGGTATTAAAATGGTTCTGTAATTACGGAGGAGTTGAACAGATAAAACGGGAAAATCAGAAATTCGTTGGCAAAATGGAACATGGACAAAAGTGTTACCATGAAATAATTTTTTCATTTTGGGGCAAAATTGTGAGAAGATCGCTTTTATGTGCAAAATTGTATTTTTTTCGGCTTCGAGCACTAGTAGAGCAAAAATATAACGCCTTTCGAGCATATGTATAATAGTAACGAGAATAAAAAAAAAAAAAAGAAGATAGGAGATACGCAGAGCTCAATCTCTAAGCCGATTACACGTGCGCGTGCAATCATACAGCTCATGCTCAGTAGTGCCGCAGTGATAAGGGAAAGAGTCGATAATTAGATCAGCGACCTACTCATATCAAGAGAGATATTACGCCCTCACCCACTCCAAAGGTATTAGTACAGGGGATAAGAGGAGTAAGATCGATGCACGTTGACTTCTATAACTGCCTCAAACTGACTACATTAGTGCTGGTACTCTCGCTTGGAATTTGATGCCTTGCCTCTCTCTTTGTACGTACAAATGTATGCTTCGTCGTGAACATTATTTTGTCTCTTTTTGGTGCGGTTACCTCCCGAGAGGATTATATAGATGATTAACTTGCGGAAAAGCTATCGCTTATCAAAAGGGATGGATATAAAGTCGTCTGACTGGAATTCACTGCATAAATATCTTTTATCTTGATGAGTATTAATTAACAATTTTTGCCTTTTCATGTGCAGTTGGGTTTTACGAGGTTTACCTACAATTTATGTTTGATCTGTAATTTTCAGATGTTGTTGGAGAAAAATACCACTTTTTTCAAAATAGTATTGAAAATGTTGGCCTGAACTTTACAAACAGTCTATGCCAGTCTCTTCCACTCCTCAAAACAGTTAAATCTAATGCGTTACTGAATTGGTATGGCTGGGATCCTATATAACTTTTTAAAATACACTTGCACAGTTATATATTGTCAAAATAATTTCCAAATGATTTACGTATTGAAAAACTAAAAACTTCGAATTCTTTAAAGCTGGCTCTCCTCAAATTTGAGCCATACATATATAACTTGTAAACTTGAGTGTTTCAAGACAAAAACTATTGTTTGTCACAGTTTTAAGTACTTTTGAGTGATGATTTTACATTTTCTAAACGCTTTGGATCACACAGCTGTGCTTAAGGAATATTGAATTCTCTAATATTTAACGCGATAAGAGTGATTTTTATTTTTTATTTTATTGTAGTTTCAAAGTATTGACTTTGTTTTATAGTTTACAAGCTGAAGATGTATAAATCGTAATAATTTTTATTAAAAATACGGACGTGGATCGCAAACTTTCGGCTAGCAAATTTAGCAAATTATGGTTGGAAGTTTGAATGAAAGTTTTACTATTCGTCTTTTCATAGGTGTGATAAAATTCAAATCAAGCGTAAAAATCTCATAATAGTAACAATCACGTAATATGCACAAGATACTTTTGGTATTTTTACTCACTTCATGTGCAATAATTTCAATTTTGAATGCTTTTATATGTGTATCAGTGCACATTGTACACAAACAAAAAATAAAATTTTTTATTGTCAGTTTAATAAAATATATTCTTTAAAAAGCAGTGAAATAAAACTATTTTATTTAATACATTTAGTTGTCATTTAGATGTCATTTAGATATCATTGTTTCAGCATACTAAAAAAAAAAAAAAAAAAAAAAAATGTGGGACTACATAAACATTTTATGATGCATAACTAAAATAAGTGTTTGATAGAGTCATTAGGTACGTGCATTACAAATAGTCTATACCAATTTGAGTGTTATCAATAAGCACTAATTGAGTGAAGGCAAACAAAAAATTCATTTTCATGCTGTTAGTCACACGACTCTAATTAAAAAAATAATTGGACTTTTGAAAGAATAGAAAAATGGGATTCACGTTCTGTCTTTTTATTAGTTTTAACTTTTGAAGCTTCTAGATCACAGTTTTTTATTGGTTGACAGTAAAAAAAAAACGTAAATAATATCTTAAGATATTTGTAGTAGTATTAGGCGGCAATATCTGTGTACTCATTCGAAACGTACAAGCGTAAGTGATTTCAACTCCAGGAGCATAAGCAATAGATTTCTTTATTCAAAGAGGAGGCAAGACCCATTGTACAACAAAAAGTCGAAAGCCTTATTTATTTCATAAAAAACTCAGTGCAACAAAAGCTTGGATAATATAGTGACTGTTTCATTCAACTATTGGTGATACATTAACGGAATATAGTAAGTTTTGTTTTATTATCACTTTATGTGGGAGGTACCATGTTCCTTGGTTTTCTTGAGTATTTTAATAACAAAGTATTCACTTTAGATATATTTATATATGCCACATGTCTTCTAAAACCTTTTTTGTAACAACTATTCACATTTTAGTGTTATAAACTCGGTAACTTGTACATAAATCAAAGATTGCATGGTCTTTTAATTTTAACTTACAACACATGAAAGACATATTGCACATTTCAAATATTATATTTAAGGATTAGCCATTTTACTCGAAAGTTGAGATCAAACTTTACATTGAAGAAATTAACAAGAAATAGTTGTACTGTAATTAACATTATATCTGTAATTAATTTTAGATACATTTTTGCGTCACCTATCGATTTTTACTTGCTCTAAGGTCTAAGGGCCGATCATCATCACTTTGCAAGCTTTTTCAAGGGTACGTTGCAATCTCACAAGTTTATGGGTTACTTTTCATTGTAGAGTGGTGTTAGCTAAAACGTAAAAGAGGCTCAAGCATGTTTTATAACTGATAAAAAAAAAAGTTTTATCAACCTAAAAAGAAATTTATCGTATAATGTATGCTTCTCCTGTTGCAAGTACAGAGAGATTGCGGCGTATACAGATCACGAGTATGGCTGACGGTGGAAAATCCCATTCATGCGACGTGTGTGGAAAAATTTTCAAAACTACCTTCAATCTCAAGACACACCGGAACATTCACACGAACGACAAACCCTTCGCCTGCAAAGTGTGCTTCCAAACGTTTACTCAAAGGAGTAATCTTACAACACACGAGCGAGCTCACACGGGTGTAAGACCCTTCAGCTGCAAAGTGTGTTCCAAAGCATACGCTAGAAGGAGTTATTTGACGGTGCACGAGCGAACCCATTCAGGGGTGAGGCCTTACGTCTGTGGCGTTTGCTTGAAGACTTTCGACAAAAAGTGGACTTTTACGCTGCACGAGCGTATCCACGCGGGAATAAAGCCTTACAACTGTAAGTCGTGTCCTCGAGTTTTCAGTGTCAAGTGCAACCTATTGGTCCACGAGAGGATCCACGCGAAGGTAAAGTCTCACATCTGCAAGGTTTGTTCGCACGCGTTCATCAACACAAGCAACCTCCAGGCGCACGAGCGGACCCACTTGAGCGCGAAGCCGTACAGCTGTGACGAGTGTTTGCAGGCCTTTGCCACGAAACGTTACCTTACCAAGCACATGGGCAATGTTCACGCTTACCACTGTTCCCAGTGCCTGCTAACTTTCGTCCGAAGCTGCAATTTGAAGAAGCACGTGCGCGAGTGGCATCCCGTTTGAGGGATGGAATTCAAACTAATTTTCTTGCATTCGGGAAAATAATCACATGTAATGTTAAGTTTTTAAGGTCATGTAAGAGTATTGACAAGTATCGTGCAATATGTGAATTTGTAGCATTTCAATTATAAATAAAACCATTAAGCAAATATTTCATGTATAACTAATATCTAACACGGTTGTGTTTTTTTCAACAAGGTGTATTAGTTTCCAGTAAAATGGAATGAGTATTTTACTTGTTTCGAAGTTACTGTTGTATCTTTTGAATACGAGCTAGATGGAATAAAAATTTAGACTAAATATCAAGTATCAACACCCAGAAGGCAGTTAACACACCATCACAAAAATAACGGTTTCAAAAGAATCAAGTAGTATATAGTTTTTGTTTGGTTTATTTATGTCAAATACAATATTATTCAACGAATTAAATTTAAACTTGAAGGTGGACATTTTACATACAATTATTTGGCAAGTTTTCGCAACTCGTACATATTAAGATGTGAAAGAATTTTTCCAGTGAGTATTTCAGGCAAAATGACAAAATCAAACGGCTCTAAAGTCTCCTCCAACAACTCATTCAAACACTTCTTTGCAGTATCCAAAATATGCCTCTTCTCTAATGCTAGCTCAATACGAGTTTTTAATACAAATTCATCATAAGATAATTTTTCTATTTTTTGGAGTGACGAGTACAATTTTGTACAAGAATCAAGGTATTCCTCATTTTTTAGTAATTTCACAAATGCATCGAACCGCATTGTTATAATATCGAAAATAGAGATCATTACCACTTTTTTCTCTTTTAATTCCTCCAGCTTATTGTGACAATCAGAAAAAGTTTTGGATAATTTACCAAACAACTTGAAAAATCCTCTTACAGGCATCAAGTCCGGATGAACATCGTTCGTTTGTAAGCAAATAGCGTAGTAAAAAATGGGCAGGTACAGACATTTATCCGTTAAAGGTATTGATTCAGCAATATTAACAAGTATTCGATCCATAGCTACACTGTCATTGAATTGCCAAAATAAACATAATATCCTTTCGTAACATTTCGTATATAACCACTGAGAAGTAAAAGGTGTCTCGTAAGAAAAACGTCTGTCAACAAGTATATACAACTTCATAAATTAAGAAATTAAATGTTAAAGACTATTTATTCAACGACAAACCTATCAGTACGGAAGCTGGCCTCCAGGAGGATCTTGAGAATTCTATGGTTATTTTTATCCGCAGCAGTAAAAAGTGCTCTTGTAACATTCTGAGGATAACTTTGTATCTCCTCGTCAATACCAGGAGTTCCAAGTAATTGAATGACAACCTTTTCATCGCCCAAAGCCACAGCAGCATTTAGTTCTTGCAATCCAAGTTTATTCTGATTTCTCAAGATGCCTGAGTCGTCAACTGCTGTTATTTTTTTAAGCAACAATTTTGCTAGATTTTCGTCCTTTAACTTTTGAGCTAACAAAAGCGGTGTTTCACCGATGAAGTTGCGTTTACGCAAATTTCTGCCTGTAATGATCCATAATAATTGTTCAGTTGAAGTTAAAAAAATACTATCATTCTTTAGAGCCATTGGCCGTGTACATAAGACATTATGAATACGCCAATTGTTTATGATGATAATTCATACGCATATTTATTTTTTAGTTATATAACATTTTATAAGGTTTTCTAAACAATATTTATCAAAAAGTTCATTTCAAAATAAATATTCTGAAAAATCATTTTTTCGTTTGTTCATGTTTGGACATTGAAACGAGTAAAAAGTAATCAGACTGCAATAAAGCGTAAAGTTAACTGTAAGCTATTTGTTTGCCTTAAGTAAAACAAAAATATGTAGCGGAGAAATTTTTTCGGTCACATGCATTTATAAGAAGCTTTGTATGAATTAATTTGAGAAATTTATAAATTGAATAATTTCAATTTTTTAATAACTATTTTACATTGGACACTTAAGCTTGTAATTTGTTTTTGAAACACGCAATCAAAAATATGTCTAAGAAAATGAGATAGAATAATTAATAAAGTATTAATTAAATAAATAGTTAAAATCAATATATTTACCATGTTCAATAAGCAGCTCAGCGATGCTGTTATGCTTTTTACAAAGTAATTCTTCATAATAGTTGCGGAGTTTTTGTAATACTAAATGCAATGGTGTATCTCCGAAGACATTCGTAATATCAACGTCAGCTCCTTCTTCAATAAAAATTTTAACTGCTACATCGTCTCCTCCAAGAGCAGCTCGATGCAAATTCCAGTTATAATTTCTATAATTAATATCACTTCTCAGCGTATGTAGCACATCATTAAGAAAGCATTTTTTGTGAGTTTTGGTGTGATATTCATTTTCCAGATAGTAGAGTAGAGCTTCGCGTGAAAAATTGTTGTGAATGTCAAGTGTAGCACCGTGGATTAAAACATAGTTTATAACCTTCTCGTCACGTTGATTTGAGCATTCAAAGCACGCCGTATGTAAACTTTCGTAAATATTTTGGCTCTTTGCACTTAGAGAATAAAAGAATTGAATTAACAAAAGTACGTGATGGTTATGATATTCAACTATAAAATACCTACCCAAATGATACAAGTAATCGTAAAGAATCAAAACTGCAATGTGCAATAGCAATATCTAATGGTGTCTGATCACCGTAATTACCAATATTAATATCTGCTTTGTGTGTTACCAACAATTCTATAATGACAATGTTATCTTCTTCTACCGCCAAATGTAAGGCTGTTTTGTCTAATACATTCATAACATTTGGGTCAGCTTTATGGTCCAGTAGAAATTTTATTTTGCTTATCTATGGATTTAAACATTTAAAATGTTAATGTGGATATTAAAAAAAAAAATAAGTACCATACCTGTTGGCTTTTAACCGCAAAATGTAGTGGAGAATCAAAAAAAAGTCCTCTTCGTGCATTTACATCTGCCCCATAGTGGAGAAGTAACGCCATTATTGATAGTTCATCGTCAGCTTCTACGGGATCAAGTTCAGAAATACGTTCGCAGACTAAATGCAGAGGAGTTCGGTAGTTGATATTCCAATCATTAACACAAGATGGATTCCTAAGTAGAACATGAGGAAATTAGGAAAGAATTTTACAAGTGTTGCTATAATCTTGAAGAAAAACTACCTTTGTAAAATTTCATGTACAACAGCAACGTCACCAGAACTAACTGCATCGTGAATGCTTTGTTTATTTCGATTATTCATTATTACATTTATTTTTCTTATTAACACAGTGAAAAAATAGTAAAACTGGATGATAATCAATAAAATTGAGAAATAAGTGTTATTATATGTTTTTGTATCGGATTTTGAAGCGTGACTAAATACGTTGTCGAAATTTTGTAATGTATATTCAATTTATTAACAGTAACGGTGTCTAGAATAGCAGTTTATGTAACACTGAAAAATGTTTGAGGTGACGTCTTGGTCACTGGCCACTGACAGTTTTAACAGATAAGACTTTGGAGGTATTGGAAAATCTACTATCACCACAAATGGCTCTCGTAATGTGATGACGGACATTACTTGTGCACACGACTAAAGCATATGTGACTTATACACACATAAAGTAGAATGTAAGGGTATGTGACTACGATTACTGTAACGAAGTTAATTAGGTATTGTGCGATTTACATTTTTTTTACGCTCCGATGTATGTAAAGGAACAATTAGTTACTACTTTACACTATCGTGATTTTCGTCGGAAATTACAAGTTTGCTCTCAAGATTTGGTACTCCCTTATCTCTATATCATACATAACGTTTTGCTAAAGTCCTGATACATAAGTTTTTGAACAATCTTTGTAAACATTTAATTTAATTAGTGCTGGACCTAATATTCTTTAAAAGAGAAAGGCTATATTTACTCGGCCCAAATTTTAATTTAATTAATAGTGCGGTACTACCACTTGCAAGATAATAGTTTGTGTTTCAGTAGTAAATAACGCGTGACACTACACCAATATATTCGTCCAAATAAAGTTTTAGGATTCTGTATCAAAACTGTATCGTGAAAATTTGATACAAATTGATAGTTTGTTCGAACCGCAATACGCGTAAAGTCATCAGCCCTTACTACTGAAGCACCAAACATTCTCGTTTAACTAAAAGCGTATTGGTTAACAACGTGTAAAAACTCTGATTAAAAAAATTTAACGTGGAATAATTGCTGAGCTTACCTTTCAGAGCATAGTGTAAAACACATCTCTTTCAACAACCTTTTCGTTGTTTTCCTTGCAATAGTAAATTGCGCAACTCAATGGCGAGAAATAATAGTCTGGCAAACATAATGATACAACCACTGCTTCCCAAAACTTTCAATTTATTTGTTGCAGTCCTTCGTCTGTATATAATTGATTTCAAATTCTCTCGATTTTTGGTGCTGTATTGACACGTGAAATAGAAAAAATAACAACGAGACCGTAAAAAAAAGAAAATACGAACTGGGTGAGTTTTCGTAACGAGTGCGTTATTACATTGTCTCACTGTAGATGTATGGCATGTGGAAGAAGTTCGTTCAAGAATCCGCGTCTGATTTACCAATTTGGTGGATTCGCTTTATCTTTGGAGTTGCCGTGGTGCAACGCTACAACTCACAGGACGGATCATTTGAAGTAGACACATTTTAATTAGTGCTATTTTATTGGTTTTAGTTATTATTATTATTTGCCACTTGTTATATAATAATTTCCTTCAGTATAACTAGCAGTGAAGATTTTTTTGTGCAGGTACTGCTAATAATCTAAGTTTAGCATAGTATGGATAATAATTTATGCTTTTTTTGTTTCAGCTAAAACAGAAAGTAAGAACCATGTGCATCTGTCAAATCTTATTTTACTACTTTAAAAATAAAGAAAGGACCTTTATATCAACTTTGGGAGCTGTTCACACTCGGGATAAGACAATTGTGAGTTTTTAGCATGTGTTGATAGTAATGTTAAAGAGTTAACAGGATAATCGAAACGAAGATTCAATAATTATTGATTTATGTCAAAACTCTATTTGTATATATATGTTATAAATTTCGATGAAAAGTACTATATTTGGATTTTTTAATGATTAAAATTACTGATTTTGTACATTAATGTCAGACCAACTATGTTTTTTTTATTATTTGCTGTAGCCTAACTACATTATTATTACCAATGAGTCCTACGTTTTCAAAGAGCAGAAAAAAGTCCATAAGAAATGTATTAAGGACCATTTTAAAGGTCGCATAAGGGTACGACAAAAACCATCCCTCAATGTGTTATATCAAAGCCTGATTTTTGTGAACATGACATTGTGACATATTATTCTTGTTACTGTAACATTTTTTACTGGAAAATTTCTGTCATTGTTACAAAAATGTAGCTTCAATATAGCAATATATTACCACCACATGTGAAAAATAAAATAAACCATCACGAGAACCAATAAAATTTTTCTAATTTTAAATTTGCAACAACAGCTGTAATAAGGAAAAAAAAAAAGGGAAGATCGTACCTTTTTTTAATCCTTGGATCAGCCCTTCTGTTTTTTGGTATTTAATGTATTCGTACATGACACACATAAAAGCTACGACACTAGGGTTGGCTGTAGTAGTAATTAGTCAGTTTGATGCTTTGACTAGAGGGGAACAAAGATAGATAATTGAGGCTACGAACGTCAATTAAAAAAAAACGCACTTGAGAATTGTAAAAGTGCCGGAATTCAAATTTAATAGCGAAAAGAGAGCTTTCCCGTATTTTCTCTTATTTTTGTCTTTTATGATTATTGCGTTGCGGGAGCACGTCACACATGTGATTTTTATGGCCATTGCGAACATGGAATCGTAATTTTTTTTGTCTTACAAGTAGGTTTATGGATGATGGACAGGTAATTACAGCTTAATTTTCTACATTTTACACGAGAGTGTAAGATGTGAAGGATCTTTTTTTTTAGGGATCGGATTGAGGATTTATTATTATAGTATTAGAGATCATCGCGTAAAATCTAGTTTCACATAAAACGGTGACTCTATAGAATTCCGCTTAGTAATGTAACGAGTGGAATTGATACACGTTTTTTAGTTAAAATTTCTTTGATTTTGAAATTTTTGGTGGAGATAGGTTTTTGAAGAATATGAGTCACTGACATACATTTACAGTCTCGTATCATTACATTTACATACAAACTTATAGAAGGGGTTTTGTAAAACGATATTTTACATACGTCTGTTAAAAAAAATTTTTTTACAGTCAAAACTACTTTAAATAAAGTATTCAATTTAATTAGACGCTTCTTTTATAATTAACAAAAACCAACAAAAAAAAACGATGCCAGTTACGACGATGAGAATAAACTCGTCTTTGTATTACCCTCTTTACAAGGCTAATAATCATCAATGGCTTTGAAACTCGAATTTGCAGGAAGGTAAGATAATTAAAATACATGATGTGCAATCTCAAAAGGGGATGGTAGAACAATTACGTGGGTAATCCTGACGAACAGGACATCCGGACTAGTACATGTCTGTAACACAATGGCACCACCGTGCTGTACAAGCAGCGGAGCACAATCCAAGTGTAAGGAATTCTACTGTCAATCCAGGGCCAGTGACTAATGGAATTATCTCTTATTTCCATCCATTTTATTGTCACAAATGATATTCTCATTCGTTTCTCTCTTAGCTATTATCCATTCTACAGTACAAACATTTAATTCAAAATTTCACACGGAAAATTTTTAAAGCGGTTATATGAATATCGAGCTNCAATAGCAATATCTAATGGTGTCTGATCACCGTAATTACCAATATTAATATCTGCTTTGTGTGTTACCAACAATTCTATAATGACAATGTTATCTCCTTCTACCGCCAAATGTAAGGCTGTTTTGTCTAATACATTCATAACATTTGGGTCAGCTTTATGGTCCAGTAGAAATTTTATTTTGCTTATCTATGGATTTAAACATTTAAAATGTTAATGTGGATATTAAAAAAAAAAATAAGTACCATACCTGTTGGCTTTTAACCGCAAAATGTAGTGGAGAATCAAAAAAAAGTCCTCTTCGTGCATTTACATCTGCCCCATAGTGGAGAAGTAACGCCATTATTGATAGTTCATCGTCAGCTTCTACGGGATCAAGTTCAGAAATACGTTCGCAGACTAAATGCAGAGGAGTTCGGTAGTTGATATTCCAATCATTAACACAAGATGGATTCCTAAGTAGAACATGAGGAAATTAGGAAAGAATTTCACAAGTGTTGCTATAATCTTGAAGAAAAACTACCTTTGTAAAATTTCATGTACAACAGCAACGTCACCAGAACTAACTGCATCGTGAATGCTTTGTTTATTTCGATTATTCATTATTACATTTATTTTTCTTATTAACACAGTGAAAAAATAGTAAAACTGGATGATAATCAATAAAATTGAGAAATAAGTGTTATTATATGTTTTTGTATCGGATTTTGAAGCGTGACTAAATACGTTGTCGAAATTTTGTAATGTATATTCAATTTATTAACAGTAACGGTGTCTAGAATAGCAGTTTATGTAACACTGAAAAATGTTTGAGGTGACGTCTTGGTCACTGGCCACTGACAGTTTTAACAGATAAGACTTTGGAGGTATTGGAAAATCTACTATCACCACAAATGGCTCTCGTAATGTGATGACGGACATTACTTGTGCACACGACTAAAGCATATGTGACTTATACACACATAAAGTAGAATGTAAAGGTATGTGACTACGATTAATGTAACGAAGTTAATTAGGTGTTGTGCGATTCACATTTTTTTTTTTACGCTCCGATGTATGCAAAGGAACAATTAGTTACTACTTTACACTATCGTAATTTTCGTCGGAAATTACAAGTTTGCTCTCAAGATTTGGTACTCCCTTATCTTTATATCATACATAACGTTTTGCTAAAGTCCTGATACATAAGTTTTTGAACAATCTTTGTAAACATTTAATTTAATTAGTGCTGGACCTAATATTCTTTAAAAGAGAAAGGCTATATTTACTCGGCCCAAATTTTAATTTAATTAATAGTGCGGTACTACCACTTGCAAGATAATAGTTTGTGTTTCAGTAGTAAATAACGCGTGACACTACACTAATATATTCGTCCAAATAAAGTTTTAGGATTCTGTATCAAAACTGTATCGTGAAAATTTGATACAAATTGATAGTTTGTTCGAACCGCAATACGCGTAAAGTCATCAGCCCTTACTACTGAAGCACCAAACATTCTCGTTTAACTAAAAGCGTATTGGTTAACAACGTGTAAAAACTCTGATTAAAAAAATTTAACGTGGAATAATTGCTGAGCTTACCTTTCAGAGCATAGTGTAAAACACATCTCTTTCAACAACCTTTTCGTTGTTTTCCTTGCAATAGTAAATTGCGCAACTCAATGGCGAGAAATAATAGTCTGGCAAACATAATGATACAACCACTGCTTCCCAAAACTTTCAATTTATTTGTTGCAGTCCTTCGTCTGTATATAATTGATTTCAAATTCTCTCGATTTTTGGTGCTGTATTGACACGTGAAATAGAAAAAATAACAACGAGACCGTAAAAAAAAGAAAATACAAACTGGGTGAGTTTTCGTAACGAGTGCGTTATTACATTGTCTCACTGTAGATGTATGGCATGTGGAAGAAGTTCGTTCAAGAATCCGCGTCTGATTTACCAATTTGGTGGATTCGCTTTATCTTTGGAGTTGCCGTGGTGCAACGCTACAACTCACAGGACGGATCATTTGAAGTAGACACATTTTAATTAGTGCTATTTTATTGGTTTTAGTTATTATTATTATTTGCCATTTGTCATATAACAATTTCCTTCAGTATAACTAGCAGTGAAGATTTTTTTGTGCAGGTACTGCTAATAATCTAAGTTTAGCATAGTATGGATAATAATTTATGCTTTCTTTGTTTCAGCTAAAACAGAAAGTAAGAACCATGTGCATCTGTCAAATCTTATTTTACTACTTTAAAAATAAAGAAAGGACCTTTATATCAACTTTGGGAGCTGTTCACACTCGGGATAACACAATTGTGAGTTTTTAGCATGTGTTGATAGTAATGTTAAAGAGTTAACATAATTATTGATTCATGTTGGAATTCTATTTCTATAGGAAATCTCTGGAACCTTTAATTTTGAGGTATAAAAAAGTATAATATTTCAATCGTAGAGCATACTCATGGAACATTTGTAAAGTCTTGTTATTACTTCTGGAAGTAATTAAAACTAAGTTCCTTATTTTGTACAGCACTCTCCAAGAGTTATTAATAATTGTTTAAGGAAATAAAGAAATCATTGAATTTTGGTTTGGATAATTTTTTTTTCTTCTGAGTTTGCTAATTTTAAGAAGAAAAAGTCTTCTAGCATTTTTTCTGGAATTGCCTTTTAAAGTCGTTAAATTTTTTCAAGTTCTAAAATCAAGTAACTATATGACAAATTTGACATAACTCAAGCGTCTGTCTGTACGTTTATCCAATAGAAATATTGTGATAAATTTTTCACAGCCAATTACTAACGTTGAATGTTACACGGATATACATTTCCTTTAATTTTAAATATGCTTCAATTCATAACTTAAACTACATCGAATAATCCTTACACCTCTAATTTTATCAACTTCTGTGTTTTAAATGGTTGTGACGTCTTGTATAGTAAAACAAACGAAATAAAAAATTTTTTTTTTATACCATCACAGTTAATATATACGTATAATAATTATGACTGAAATTCTGACTTTCAACAAAAAACCCAATTCTCTAAATATTTTTTGTGTTTTTTTTTTTTTTTGAGACAAAAAATTTACCTTAAAAAATAAATTAAAGTTTCAATCAGTTATTTTCAATGTGTTTTATTGTATGTTAACTGACTTCACTGGTTAAGAATCGGAACCAAACAACTTGTTTAAAATGAAATTGTTTTAACAAATACAAAAATTTTAAAGTTTCTGCATGGACTAATTGTTTTTCTTATAATTTGGCTAATTTGGAAAAAAAGGTCTTTGACGTTTTTTTGTTTGTTGCTGTAAAAAGAACTTATAAATTTTTCAAATTTCAAAGAAAAATGCATTTTACTTTCGGGGATGAACCACACGCACAGAAGAGTTACATTCATTTTTACCGTAAAATTAACGGTAAAGCTGGGATGCTATACCAGGTACCTTAATTTTGACGTACGTGCCAAGTAAATTTTACTACCGTTTACGGTAATTTTTTTAGTGTATATAGAATTTATCAGGATTCACCTATGAATTTTATTGTAGGCTACGGTAATTTTTTCCCTGATGGGAACTTGTAACTTATAACGGAGATTAGTAAGTATAATAGGGACCTCGTCGTACTCACCTGCTACAATAACCCTACCACACCAACCTCCGATATCAGTTACTTTTTCCCCATCAGGGAAAAAATTACGTATAGAAAAAACGTGTAATTAAATAAAAAAAGCTATTTAATACCTCTAACTCGATTTCTCATTTACATTAAGACCTATAGGATACATGTACACTTTGAGAGAGGGAAGAAATATTGATTTAATCAAATACTGCAACTGGGACAGACATTTTAAAGGTTCCAAAGATTTGCTATATTGCCAATTTTTATCAGTTTGTATAAAATTTTACAAAGGGTACTAAATTTGTCAAAATTTTTTCGCGATTAAAATGACTTACTTTGTACATTAATTAATTCCAACTATGTTTTTTCATTATTTGTTGTAGCCTAACTCTATTAACTTTTTGTCATTGTTAAAAAAAATGTAGCTTTAATATAGCAATATTTTACCACCTCGAGTAAAAAATAAATTTAACAATCACAAAAACATAGAAATAAATAGTTTCCACAAGTTTCATTACATAAAATATATTAAAGGTCATATCAGCTTCAATACTTTTTATAAACCCTTCTGTTTTTTGGTATTTAATGTATTCGTACATGACACACATAAAAGCTACGACACTAGTGTTGGCTGTAGTAGTAATTAGTCAGTTTGATGCTTTGACTAGAGGGGAACAAAGATAGATAATTGAGGCTACGAACGTCAATTAAAAAAAAACGCACTCGAGAATTGTAAAAGTGCCGGAATTCAAATTTAATAGCGAAAAGAGAGCTTTCCCGTATTTTCTCTTATTTTTGTCTTTTATGATTATTGCGTTGCGGGAGCACGTCACACATGTGATTTTTATGGCCATTGCGAACATGGAATCGTAATTTTCGTTGTCTTACAAGTAGGTTTATGGATGATGGACAGGTAAATACAGCTTAATTTTCTACATTTCACACGAGAGTCTAAGATGTGAAGGATCTTTTTTTTTAGGGATCGGATTGAGGATTTATTATTTTAGTATTAGAGATCATCGTACTTTCTAAATTTGAAATAGTGGAAATTTTACTATTTGCGTAAGTAAAAAAAATTTCACTGGCAACATAGTAAAAAGTTTGAATCGTTAATTCGCGCCTAACTGATGTACATTTTTATTCTAAATATTTATCAGTAATCCAATGAACGATTTCAATCTGAATAAATATAATTGTACAATCCAAATAATTTGTTTAAAGTAATTCCAACAATAAGTTTACTGACTAATTTAAATAGAGGAACATTATTTTGGTAAAATAAATAAATATCCACAGTTTTGCAGTGTAATCCACTATTTCAAAGTAAATATTCACTAGTTCAAGTAAAGTATAAGTACATAACTTTAAAATAGTAAAATCGCCCGTTCCACTGCTTAAATAGTGCATATTTACTATCTTCCAATGTATACATTGTATATAAGCACTTTTTTGAAAAAGCTGTGTATTTATGACTATTTTAAAGTAACAGTACCCCTAGAAAGGTCTTTAATCGCCAAGCGTACACGTGTCAGCCCTCAAATTAGCTTATTCCACGAATTCGTGTACACGATTTCCCGACACTTAAGTCGTGTGTACATACACAATCCAAGTGAATAACTCGAAAGTAATCTCTTGTTTACTACTCGCCTACGAGAGGAAAAAAAAACAGCTGTCACGCATCTCGAGATCTTTATAGTCCACGTGTGCTCCAGTTCTGCCAAGCCTCGTGTCGGAAACAGGTGAGTTCGTGTATATACCCTCCTTCCGAAAAAAGGGGCATTCGTCAGTTCTCCCGAAAAAATGAAAAAAAGAAAACTAGTGGACTATTCAAGAAAAGGGCAAGAACGTACATACGTACTCATGGAGAAGGAGAAAAATGGAGAAAAGGCGGAAGAAACGAAGGAGAGTAAGTATGAGCGAAAGAACGAGCGCAAGCTCTCTCGGTTCCCATGCTCGTTATCGCATGGCTTTTTCGTGAGCCCAGGCGCACACACTC